GAAAGGAGTGACAATTGGAGAGAAAGAGAAGAGCCACTGACAGAGAGCGACAGACAGCTGGAGATCTGAAGTGTGTGAGGGAACACAAAATCAGTGACTACTGGCTAAGAGTGTAAAGTAGCAAAGGCAAGCAACAGTTACAAATCTGAGGTGTGGAAGGGGACCTGAGTTCAAAAGAAAGAAGATCCCAGAGGGTCTCAGACACAAAGGAACTGTTACAGATCCTGGGGGCAACAGACAGTGAAAGCAAGTTACACATTGGCAAGGAAACCCAGTAATGCCAGCTGCCACAGAGAGGAAAAAAGACCAAAACAACAAAGTTTATTAGAAGAGACAGAAGAGTCCTATCAAAGGTGCGGGGAGGGCAGATGTGGGACCGTTTTCTGGGTCAGACTTTCTATTGGCTCCTAGGCCCTCTTGGCTCTAGATTCCCTCTTCTCTGGATTGGCTGCTCAGGGTATCCTACTTTGGTAGGCTCTTCTCCGCTGCTGGCAGTTTGAAGTAGTTGCAAACTTTTAGGGTAGGTGGGTGGCAACCTCAAAGACAATGAGCTGCTTTTTAGAAAGACACACATCCCTATTGCCCAGGTTGGACCAAGTTCTGCTGACACCCCTTCAATAGGTATCTGGCATCAACAGTTTTTTTTTTTTTTTTTGTTGTTGTTTTTAAACCACTGGTTGGTTATTGCTAGCCACAGCTCCATAAGTAAACCTCCATAGGAACCTATTAAAGGATGGGGCTTAAAGACCTTCCAGGTTGGTAAATGTGCGGGGTGGAACATGCCAGAGAGGATGTGGAGGCTCCAGCCCTTCAGACTGCTATACTCTACGTGCCCACGCAAAGCTTTCACTCAGCTGCTCCTGCCTTGAAGCCTTTATGATATCGAAGGAGGAGGAGACAGTGGAGTGCTCTGGGGTTTAGTGAGCTATTCTAGCAAGGTCTCAGACCTGAGAGAAGGGTGGGGCTCCTGCATGTGCAGCACATAGGAAGAAAATGCATATGGCTGACATCTGGAGTGGGGGTGGGGGCAGTCCTGCCCCTTAAACTCGCAGAGGCCGAGGCTAATTTTGAGATGGTAGTGTTGGAACACAAGGAATTTGTTGGATTCACAATTGGGTTTGGGAACCAGACAACTGGTGTTGTCAGACATGACATATTTAGTGCCATAGGAGGAGACCCTCTGCACATGTCACGCTTAGTGGTACTTCTCCTTGTATAAATGACGGGAAGCTATGTCTCATCAGCATTCTTCCTGATAAAAGGCTTAACATTTCCCATAGCTTCTTTTATTTTGCTCCTTCATTTTCATTTTATGTGTATGGTGTTTTGCCTGCATGTATGTCGGTGTACCACATGCATGCAGAGATCTGAGAGGCCAAAAGAGGATGTTCTATTCCCTGATTGGTTGTGCACCACCACGTGGGTGCTGGGAATCAAACTCTGGTCCTCTGCAAGAGCAGCCTGTGTTCTCAACCACTGAGCCGTCTCTCTAGCCCTTCAGGTAGTTTTTAAAACTATGACACTCAGATTTTGTGAACTAGCGGTTGTAACTACTAGTGTAAAAACTGGGTCTTTGTTTCATCATCCCTGGATCTGAATTTGTAATGATAGAAGGCCAAATAACTTAAATACTCGTACATAGAGGGAAATAGCTAGGGGTTCTGAGTGGACTGTGATTTCAGGAGAGGTCCGTGTGGCCCTGTTGGTTGGAAATAGAGAATCCACTGATTTTGCTTTATAAAAACATTGTTGAATTAGAGAGGCAGTGGAGTGGCGAATGAAAGAATTTATTACATGTGTTCCAAACTGGCCTCTTGTCCCTGTCCCCCTTTTACGAGTATCCAGTTACCATGTGTGTATATATGTGGGGGTGTGCATATGCAGGGCACGAATGTGGCGGTCAGAGGACATCTGTGGGACTTCGGTCTCTCCTACTATGTGGGTCCCAAGGAGCAGACTCAGTTTGTCAAGCTTGGTGGCAAGCACCTGTAGCTGCTGGGCCACCTTGCTGCCCCCTTCTTTTTCCAGAGACCTGTATGCACCCTGCTGTATTGTCTCCAGTGCTACCGGAGCTACAACAGGGAGTGCATCCTTAAGCTTCTTCAGATCCAGAGGGAAAGTGGACCTAACTCAAGACAGCTGTAGAACGTACCTCATATAAGACTTAATCTAACTGTGGACAGAAGCAAAGCAGGGAAGAATCGCATACGGATATCCCAAGTGTGTGCCCTCGCATCTACTTCCTTCCTCTTGCCTCCCCCTCCTCCGAGTTCCATTGCCTCACTACAGCTCCACAGGCTTGTCAGCCAGCCTTCCGTACCTGCGCACATGTCCTCTATACGGGTCCAGCCAGCCTTCCGCGGTGTTCTGTAGTTCTTTGCTCCAAATTTCTCTCTGGGAGAGAAGGAAGAGACTCCTAAGCCTCAGGAAGTTCTTGAAACCTATAATCATCACAAGGCCCTTCCCAAATGTGAGATAGTTAACCCGTTGTTGTTGGTGGTGGTGGTGAAGGAGGAGGAGAAGGGGGGAGGGGGGGGGGTTGGAGGGGGAGGAGGAGGAGGAGGAGAAAGAGGAGGAGGAGGAGGAGGCTCTTCAGCTGAACTTTGCCTGCAGAATACAAAGAATTTCAGAGTTCCACTTTTGCCTGTTGTCATCCCTGGTTAACTTTCAGAGATACAGCTGCCATTGTATCACCTCTGTGTCTCTAAATAAACCCCCAAAACCACTGGTTCAGTAAGCTAGGTGTGGTGGTTTGAATAGGTATGGCCCCCACAGACTCATGTGATTGACTGCAGGGCCCATAGGAGTGATGTGGCCTTATTAGGAGGTGTGGCCTTGTTGGAGGAAGTGCATCACTTGGGGGGTGGGCTCTGGGGATCACCTATGCTCAAGCTCCCTTCAGTGAGGCTCACAGTCTCCTGCTGTTGCCTGTGTATCTGGATGTAGAACTCTGTTCCTGCTCCAGCATCATGTCTGCCTGGATGCTGTCATGTTTACAATAATGGACTAAACCCCTGAACCCCTATAAGCCAGCCCCAACTAAATGTTTCCTTTATAAAAAGTTGCCGTGGTCTTGGTGTCTCTTCACAGCAATGAAACCCTCAATAAGTCAGCAGGCTGGGGTGAAATTATTTGTGGATTTGGTCTTCAGCAGTCACCTGTCTGGGCTCTGTATGGGTGCCCTCCTGAAGCACAGGGGGAAGGCTTCTAAACTGTAGCACCAGATAACATGACAACTGGGATATGTGTCTACCGGCGGAAGTCCAGCCACTCTACCTAAAGCCCTGTGGGGTTTTCTGGTGACAATGACAAAAGCAGTGCTGTCTTTACCTAAATTTGCCTGGTATTAAAAAGTCACAATGAATCCTTTCTCTCTTTCTTTCTTTCTTTCTTTCTTTCTTTCTTTCTTTCTTTCTTTCT